CCATCTGTAAGAAGGAAATGGCTAAGAATTGGACTTGAACTTCATATACCTTTTTCTTCCAAGAGAAGCTCCCTAGAGTGTAACTTCATCATGACAGGAAAGGTTCACAATTCAAGAAGCTCTCTTGTTTCTTGCCTCTTCCTGGATGCCTAAGTGGAAATTATTACCCAGATATTGTTTTTCCAACAGATATCTTTGTCTCATCCCTTTTGAGTATTCTTCTTTGTAGCCATGTCATTATGTGAGCCAGACTGAGCATTGCAGAATCATCTGTTTGGTGAAAGCCACTAAACATTTACACAACTGGTCAGACATGACAGCTTTTCTCAGATATCTCTGTCTCCAAGGGTAAGAGAAGTCCATCTTTTCATTCCTTCATTCATTCTGCACCACTGTCACATGATTGTCATGTGAGAGGTACTCTGCTGGGCTCCCAAAATCACAGCTGACACACAGCCCTGCTTTTAAGGGGCTTACAGACCATTCAAAAGGGTGATGAGTTTACAGGGTGACATACTTCAAGGTCACACGGAGCCAAGTTATAAATGTGATGGGTATTCCGAAACGCAAGCAATTATATTTCCTTAGATTTAGTTAAAGAACCTGCCTGCCAATGCAGGAGATGTGAGATACCCAGATTTAATCCCTGGGTTGGGAAGATCCACTTCAGGAGGGCATGGCAACACATTCCAGTGTTCTTGCCTGGAGAATCCCATGGATAGAGGAGCCTGGCAGCTATGGTTCATGGGGTCACAAAGAGTTGGACACAACTGAAGTGACTTAGCATGCATGCAGTTTGATTTTAAAATGCAAAGTGTACAAACACCTGTTATGAGAAAAATTAAAGTTATTATTTAAAAGGTGACTATTCTCCCTCCTTCAACCCTTTCGCCCAGAGGCTAATGGTCTGATGTTCTTCCAGATGTTTTCTGTGTGTATAGACGGCTGGGGAGTGGAGCCTGACTTGGATTGAATCCCAGTTCACCTTGACCTTGGGCAAGCTGCATATCCTTTGTGCACCTTAGTTTTTTGAAAATGGGGGACCTTAAAAATATTACTGTCAACCTCATAGGCCTGTCGTGTTGTACACAGTTGTCTAAGCCAGGTTGTGACCCATCATTTTGTGCACATCTTTTAGTGTGAACTCCTATGAGCAACAACCATTCTTTGTGGTGCAGAGTTCCCAGTGGGGCAGTCTTACTGGATTGTTTCCTTACTGCTAGAAAGGTGTGCTTTTTTATTCAGAGTAGATTACTATTTATTGGGTGACGGGGGCATTATCTGGGAGGAGACAGACGTTTGGGCGAGTTTGAAGTATGCTTCGGAATTTGGGACCCACGGTTGTGCAGAGGGCATTACAGGTTTGCAAAGAAAGAGGCAGGGATCTATTTACTCTTTCAGTAAATATTTACTGACTGCTTACTATGTTTAGAAATGGGAATAAAAACTGGAAATAGAGTAGCGAACAGGAGGGAGTCTGTGTTCCGACATGGCCGAGGGCCTGGTGGTGTGCATTTGGGGAATGGCTAATGGGGGTGGGGGTGGGTAGAAGGGGACATGTCTAAGGACATGCAATGTGTGAGCTGTTCCTGGGCACAGGCCAAGGGTGGGAGGTTTTGCAGCCACCTGTCTCTGCGGAAATGGCCCCAGTGACCTAGTGATGACATTTGTGGAGGTAACTCAGCCTGGACAGAATCTTGATAGGAAGCATCCAGCTGAGCCTCAGTGGGCTCAGGACTCACACCTGCTTTGTGGAGTTAGACTGGGATGCCCAAACAGTCTCCCTCTGAGGACTTTGGGGAAAGTTCTGACAATTATGGGTAGTCTAGCAAATCCAGGGCATAGCCATGGGTCAGGAAAGGTCATCTACACTTGGAAATTTAGGAGATCCAAAACTTGGTCATTTAGTGACCAAAAATCAAACATTCTCTCATGTCAGGGTCATGAGCTGATTAAAGCTTGTATCATAAACTTAAGCATGTTCCTGGAATGATCAATTTCCCCAATAGAACATCTCACCAGTGATCTTTTTTTTCACCAGTGATCTTAAACTCCCTTAATTTTATGAGGCAAGAGGATGTGGTGGGTACTGAAAAGAAGGGTCGTAAGAGAAGGTAGGGGCTTCCTAGGAGGCTCAGTAGGTAAAGACTCTGCCTGCGATGCAGGAGATGCAGGAGATGTGGGTTTGATCCCTGGGTCAGTAAGATCCCATGGAGGAGGAAATGGTAACCCTCTCCAGTGTTCTTGTCTGGGAAATCCCATGGACAGAGGAACCTGGCTGGCTACAGTCCATGGGGTCCAAAGAGTTGGACATGACTGAAGGGACTTATCATGCATGCACAACAGAGAGAGCAGAAGGCAGAGACAGCTGGAGATGGGATGAGGCTGGGGGTATGACCTGAGTGTCCTGTGGTTTGTCCACCGCCAGGAGTGTGTGGTGCTCACCCCATCCTCAGTTATGCAGACTTTGAGTAAGACTGGCATTTGGAGTGATGAGAAAAGGACTGAGTGCAAAATCAAAGGCTCTGAGTCCACCCCATCCTCAGTTATGCAGACTTTGAGTAAGACTGGCATTTGGAGTGATGAGAAAAGGACTGAGTGCAAAATCAAAGGCTCTGAGTCCACCCCATCCTCAGTTATGCAGACTTTGAGTAAGACTGGCATTTGGAGTGATGAGAAAAGGACTGAGTGCAAAATCAAAGGCTCTGAGTCCTAGTTAGACCTAAACAGGAGATCTGGTGGAGAAGCTGATTTTGAGGCGTGAGTCCGGTTCCTCACTGTGTTGGACATTGTTCTTAGGAGCAAGCGTTTCGCGCTGTGGTCAGTGGCTGTTCCTCATTACTGTGGTATCAGAAGCATAAAGCCCAGACATAGTCGAGGGCTGAATTCATGCCATAAAAGGTGTGTCTACTTCTCCAGCACCAGAAATATTTGAAGGCAATAACGATGGCTCCATATATGTCAGGGAAGAGGGTGTTCCCAGGAAGAAGCAGGCAGAATGTCAAAGTAAATTTATCAACATAAAAACAGTGCTTTTTAATCATTTTTCAGCCATATTAGTTGTTAAAGGAGAGACCAAGTTGGGCAGCATCGTGTGCTGAGGGTGGAAGAAATAGGACTTCATGTCGTCTGCTGAACCGATTTTTTTTCATGCTAATGCACACAGCAGTCCAGGGAGGATGCTGCCAAGAATAATATAGAATATTCTGAAGCCTACAGTGAAAGCTTGCAAAAAAAAAAATCTCATTTTACTGAGTTCTTGAAAGAAGGAAAATGTGGCAGGCTGTACATTAATCCTGTTATTAAAAGTGGTGCTGCCTACATGAAGCCTACACACACACACATACATACACACATATTCTCCAGCCCTCATGTCTCCTCTATAGCTGTCTCAGGTCGCTCAGGGACTAGCATGTGGGAGGCCTTTGAACACTGGGGGAGAGAATGGAATTCCAGCTGATTTCTCTTATTTCTAAAATGAAGGTGCCACTTGGTCTCCACTTATAATGGAGTCCAGTAAGCCAATCCTGATTTATTTCAGGTTGAATGTCATGAACTTCCTCATAGTTGACTACTTTTGGTATATGAAGCCATCAAGTTCAATGGTTCATCCTAATAGTTTAGACGTACTGATTAACGTTAGTTAGAGGGTTAGCTTTCCAAATTTGAAATCTTGCTGGATCTTATAGGTGATAAAGTTGTGAATCAGACTTAGTATTAAAAATCTAAGTAACTAGAAATCCAGAAAGAAACAGTGCCATATTATTAGGGTTCTAAGCACCTCTCTTAGGTTTTTCAAAGGACCAGTGATGTAAAAATCCAACTACTGTGAACTGGTAGTCTAGTAGAATTTGTATAAATTAGGAAGATAAGTTACCTTTTGGGAAAATTACAGAAAAGTAGTGCTAATTAAAAATGAGAATTAATGAAATTAATTAAGAATTAAAAACTGGAATTGAAAAGTTAGTATAAAATTAAACATGACTGATTATCAGCTCTCTTTAAAAATTTTAAAAAAAATTTTAATAGCCAGGACATGGAAGCAAACTAGATGCCCATCAGCAGATGAATGGATGAGGAAGCTGTGGTACATATACACCATGGAATATTACTCAGCCATTAAAAAGAATTCATTTGAATCAGTTCTAATGAGATGGATGAAACTGGAGCCCATTATACATAGCGAAGTAAGCCAGAAAGATAAAGACCATTACAGTATACTAACACATATATATGGAATTTAGAAAGATGGTAACGATAACCCTATATGCAAAACAGAAAAAGAGACTCAGATGTATAGAACAGACTTGTGGACTCTGGGAGAAGGCGAGGGTGGGATGTTTCAAGAGAACAGCATCAAAACATGTATATTATCTAGGGTGAAACAGATCACCAGCCCAGGTTGGGTGCATGAGACAAGTGCTCGGGCCTGGTGCACTGGGAAGACCCAGAGGGATCGGGTGGAGAGGGAGGTGGGAGGGGGGACCGGGATGGGGAATACGTGTAAATCCATGGCTAATTCATTTCAATGTATGACAAAAACCACTGCAATGATGTAAAGTAATTAGCCTCCAACTAATAAAAATAAATGGAAAAAAAATAAAAATAAAAATAAAAAATCAGTAGTTAACAGTAAAAAAAATTTTCTGAGGAAAATAAGGTTTAAATTCTTAAAGATGAATAGATTTAATCTTTATAGATTAAATAGATACAATCTTTATAGTCTAAGGCTTAATCATAATTAATATTTTAAAAAACTAAAAGATAAATCTGCTTTCTGCTAGTAATAGACTAGTAGAGAGGTATAGTGGTCTAGTTATAAATTGTTGCATTACCTAAAAGTGAGCTGACTTAGGTAAAGGGTACCTTCCTCACATGAGAATGAATGTTATGTGAAGGATGATAAGTGATTTCTAAAGAAATCAGTAAATACCAAGACAGAGACCTCAGTGACTCTGGATGTCCCCATCTACAACACTAACTCTCCTCGTTAAGAGATTATGTCGGGTGAGCAAAGAAACAGTTTCAATGCTGTACCTTTTCTCTGGACTTACTTACCCAGCCTAATTTCTTATTCATCACAATAGTAAGAGAGCAGGTTCTATTTTGAGGAATTGTAGGAACTGTGGATTTAATTGCAGGACTCTTCAGACTCAATGAAACAGATCTATTTCTGAGTGTTCAGAAAGCTTAAGGAATTATGTTTTGGTATAAAAGCTTTACTCATTGCAGTCACGAGAGACCATGCATGCTGTTACTCTCAGGATCAAGTTGCCTGGTCAAGCTTGAGCATAGGATTCACATTTTAAATGCAACAGCTTTCTATGGGTAAGCTTGTAAACTGGTGACTAGTATATGAAATGATATTATTAAAGGAAGAAAAAATTAGCAGTGTGTATTCTTATTTTAAAATTTGTTTTCTGCAAACTGTACAACCAGGGTTAAGCTTAGAGAACTCAGTTAAAATTTAATACTGTTAGTAATATTCAATCAGGTATATATTAAATTAATTAAAATAGAAAAGGGATCCTATGGGTTTAAAATTAAAAAGGAAACAAAAATTTAAACTCACTTGGATAAAAAAAAAAAATCACACTAAAATTTTCATGGCCATCTGGTTCAATTCATATTTTACAGATTGCTTTCCAGGCTGTATGGGAAAAAAGTAGAAAACTCAGTTCAAAAGCTTTTATCCTTTACAAATAAGATGCTTTCACCTTAGTTTTCCTTAGATCCCTTAAAATTTTTAGTAAACAGAGTAGTGTTTATGATTTTCTGCTAATACAGTTTGGTTTTATTCTCTTTAATAGTCCTGTTTTCCTTGAAGCTTTACTCTAAAATTACATTCTTCTAACCAACTTCTATAATGAAATTAATATCCAGTATTTAACTTTTTCCCAGCTTCATTGAGATACAATTGACATATAACATTGTGTCAGTTTATGTATTGATCTGATACTTTTACATATTGCAAAATGATTACTTCTACAGGTTAGCTAGCACCTTCACCACATAATTACCATTTCTTTTATGTGATAAGGAGTTTCTGTTTCTTAAAGTATCTAAAACATATGACTGATGGATTCAGTGTTGATGGACAGACTTCTGAGAACAAATCAGCTTTCATGCATCTCTGGATAAAAAAGTAGTGTTAAAATATAGGGACTGCCTGTACGTGTGTTTTCTTATTTGACGAATACTCTGTTCCCCTTTGTGTCCGGCACATGTGAACTCGGTGGTGGTGGTGGCGTGGGGAGCCCAAGGCAGGCGCTGCATGGGAAGAGTGTGTGGTCAGATGTCCGCCTTCTGAACTGTAGTGAAAGGGACTCCCTGGTGTCCTCCTTCTAGAAGAACTCATTTCTGCAACTTTCTGAAGGAAGCACTTGGAACCAGATCTCTGCTGGATGTGGAGGTCAGAGATACAGGAAGAGGGAGGAGAGTGATCTTGTCCTGCCTGTCAGCTGCCCTAAAGCATCACCACGTGACATTTATAAGTTTCACCAGATGTAAAACACAGGAGTATGTCCTGGGGGAAAGAATTTTACACAAACAGACAATGAATAAGGTGACTTGGCAGTCTTTCCTGTCTCTCATTTCTTTGATGGTTTTGCTTCCTTAGGAAAAATCTGCAATTGTTGGACTTTTTTTCTGCTGCATTGTAAATACTTTGCAGCTGTTTCTCTTGCCTTTACTGTTTTCTATAAAATCACCATGGTTTTGAGAAGACATCATTTTAAAAGCCATCGATGGCTTCAGAGGGCAGAAGGGAAATTATTGAAAGTACAAACACAAAAAGAAGTTCTAGAATCACTGACCTGACAGCACTGTTTTGTCTCTTGGTAGTGAAGTTGCTTATTCTGAATAATGTGTATCTACTGGTCTGGCAACTTAAAATAAACAAAGCATTTTAAGGCCGTTAAGGAGTATTTAGAATGTACTTAGTTGAGATGGAGGTTCTAAACATTTAAGCTCAGTCATCTTGCAGGCGATTCATGGTGGGGGCCTCTTTGGCCTTGCTGAAGGGTGTGGAGGAAGAGAGGACACAATTTTGCTAAAAATTCAGCTCTGAGGGCACTTATTTTTAGTAACATAGTCTGTTATTACCTTCAATTATTGTGGAAGTTAGAGTGTGCATAAATCTCTTTGTGATCATATAATACATTGTAAATTAGTACACGTGCATTGCAGTACAAGTACTTTTTATAAGTTATGTGGCCATCTTAAAAATTTCATACTTGCATGAAATTTTCTCCCTTTCTATACTGATTAAGTTGTCTAAGTCATATCTATGTTTTCTCCTACTTAGAGAGTTTTTCCTGAACTGTCTATCTGTTTTCACCTTTAGAAAATGAAATTTGTTAATGAGACCAGTCCAGTTGTCTATAGTTCAAATGATTGTACTAATGTTGATAATGCCCTTTACTTGAAACTTGTTATTGTGCAGTTTCTAATTGTGAGCTCTCTAAGCTTGGGAAGGTCTTTTTTGGGGAAAATTCCCGTTGTCATTCTTTGAGGGAACTTCACATATAATTTTGGATAGTTGAAACCAGGTAGAAATAGTGGGAAAGAGTGCATTCTTAGCTAGAGTGAAGACTTTTTTTCCCCTAGAACAACTTGATCTGTGTTGTAAAAACTTGTGGTGTCCACAGTAAATCTCTGAGGCAGAGGACAGGGTTCCAGGTGCCTGCGTGGCCCCTGAGAGGTGTGGGTATGGGCATCTGATAGCTTTTTACAGAGGCAGGGGGTGTACTCCGTGATTCCAAGCTGTGGACCACAACAACATCACACTGGGTGAGAGAGTGTTGCTGTTTACCTTCTGAGGCTTTTCTAGCTTGACTGTGCCTTGCTGACAAGCTCAAAGGCATGTTTTTCCCGTAAGCTCAGGTGACTCCTGGGTAGCAACTTCACACATAAAATAAAGCAGAAAATTCAGCAATTAGGCCACTGTCATCAATCAGACTGGATGATTTCAGACAAAAATAAACGAAGGAGTTTTAGAAGTGGCTTGATTTTTTTTTTTTTAATGAAAGTTTGGGTATTAGTCATCTGTTGCTGCATACAAATTCCCTAAACATTTAGCAGCTTAAAGCAACAAACCCTGCTGCAGAGTTTCTGGGAGTGGGGAATCCAGGAAGGTTCAGCAGGCGCCTCCGGCTTAGGCTCTCGTGGGCTGCAGTCACAGTTGGTCGGGGCAGTCAAGGTCAGTCAGGGCGCAGCCTGTGAGGCCCTCTTCTAGGCTCACCCATCTCCTCCTTTTCTGGTGCAGGCTGGCTGCTGGCTGGAGACCTCGGCTCCTTCCTTTGGAGCCTCTCCTTGGGACAACTTGCAACCCGGTGGCTGGCTCCCTTCAGGGACCAGGGGTACCCAGGATAGAAGCCCCCAAGAGGGATCCTGGTACTTTCACTGTCTCTGGTCACTCGGAGCCCCAGGTCCAGCCCACTCAAGGGAGCAGGGGGTCACATATGTATGGATGTGAGAGTTGGACCATAAAGAAAGCTAAGCGTCAAAGAATTGATGCTTTTGAACTGTGGTGTTAGAGAAGACTCTTGAGAGTCCCTTGGACTGCAAGGAGGTCAAACCAGTCAATCCTAAAGGAAATCAGTCCTGAATATTCATTGGAAGGACTGATGCTGAAGCTACAGTACTTTAGCTACCTGATGTGACGAACTGACTCGCTAGAAAAGACCTGATGCTGGGAAAGATTGAAGGCAGGAGGAGAAGGGGACAACAGAGGATAAGATGGTTGGATGGCATCACTGACTCCATGGACGTGAGTTTGATCAAACTGGGAGTTGGTGATGGACAGGGAAGCCTGGTGTGCTGCAGTCCATGAGGTCTCAAAGAGTTGGACATAACTGAGTGATTGAACTGACTACCCTCCTTGGGTTGTCCTTGCCTCTCCTTAAGTGTTTGGGACTTCGTGATAAATAATGGAAACTAAAGGCTCTGCCCTGAGAACCCAGAAGTGGGCTCATTTCTCCCTCTTCAGAGTTAGTGTTCGAGAATGTCCTCAGTGTACATATTTCCAACGTGGACAATTTTATACCTTACAGAACAAGGTTATATAAAACCAAAACAGTGACAAGCATCCTGTGGGAGGAAGGTTCTGACCCCCTGAGCCCCTGATCGTTTCCTGGGGATGAGTCAGACAGGTGAGGATGCGGAGTGGAGGCTGCCAGACTTCCTGATGGGGACACAGAAGCGGGACGAGTTCACAGGCTCCAACCTCAGCCAGGCTGTGCTTCCTACTCCTGCTGCTTTGTCATGTGTAGAGAGAATAAAAACCGGATCTGTGCAAGGAGGGTGGTGAGAGAGAGAGGTAATGCACAGATAAGGCTTGATTCGGGGCAATGCTGGTGTGAGCTGACACTGACGTGAACTCGTGTGTCCTGGGCACGTGTCTCCAGAGTAATCTGCCTGAAATGTCTTCTTACCAACGTGGTCAGGGACTAGTGATGTCAGCTCCACATTCTCTGACGAATGTTCATCCCCATACTTCTCCATCCTGTGAATCTGTTCAATGGACCAGCGAGTGAGTGTGGGTCCCTGAGCCTGGGGGTCTGTCCTTGTCAGACAGGGTTCCTGAGATAACTGGGGTTGAGCCTGGCCGCAGAGCATTTGACACTTTCTTCTCTCGTTTTTCCCTTCGTTCTCACCTCTCCTTCTACCCACAGCCTCCCCTGAACACCTCACAAGCTCACAGCCCGTTGCCCTGCATCTCTGCAGCGCTTTTCATCCGTGACAGGTTTCATGCCTATCACAGGGGTGCTGGTGCTGCCTCCTGGTTAGGTGATGGGAGCACTGTCATTCCCCGATTCTCACCACACTCCGTGTGATGATGGGCACAGATGGATGCGGCTGTGTTTTTTTCCTAATGGAAGATGCGCTGGGGTCGTGTGGCCACCAGACGCTGCAATGCCCGAGGCCACCATCACCATCACTAAACGCCCTCTTGTCTTCCCACAGCCTGCGCCTTCCGGTACAACGGGCTCTCCTTCGTCTACCTCATCTACCTCCTGCTCATCCCCCTGTTCTCGGAACCGACTAAAGCCACCATGCAAGGTAAGAGCCCCTGGCTCTCTGCTCCAGGGCGGGGTGCATCTGGGGGTCCCCGGGGTGTTGTTACCAGAAGGGAGAGATGCCGGTCCAGTGGGGAGCTGGGGCACTTGGTGGTGATGCGTTTCTGTCACTTGCAGTTGTTTTTCCCACACATGTTCTATGGCAGGCCTGCATTTGTAGGTTTGCAGAGGGTCTGGAAGGTTCTGGAACTCAACGTGTGGTCATGAAAATGAAGCAGATCTATAGGTTCTGTGTGCTGGGAGTAGGCGGTGGGAAGTGCAGCTAGGATAGGAGCAGGAGGCCTGGGGAGGAAGTTGGTGGTCGTGGCTGCTTCATAGCTGGGATCTGTCACGAGTGCTCCAGTCGGGTACAGAAAGACACAGATTCTAGTGCTAGTTTTTCAAGCGTGTGATTGCAAACCCGTAGCTCCTTCCCCGATGCTCTCCAGGAACCTGAAGGCGTAGAGAGAAATAGTGACTCTCTTTCCTGAGGCTCTGATGAGGAAGCTGGTCTGATTTGGAGTTCTTCCACAGAGAGACAAATTAAACTGCACTGAGTTAATCGAATTAATTGTTTTTTTGAAATGATGCCATTATAAGAAATCAGAACTGTGCCCCACGTCTTAGGTGAGAATGATGGCCCTGTGTTTATAGCAAAGGACAGGAAGTCAGGCTTGACATGGGAATGGCCGTGGCTCCATGGTGCCCGCTCACAGTGCTGACTTCTCAGGAAAAGCAGTAAAGTCCTGGTGTAAACAGAGTAGTAAATCATGACTCTGTCTTTCCTGTTCTCCCCCGACTGTTAAATTGATTGTTCATCCTGATGGTTAGGACTGCAGATGCACTGTTGGTTTTCCTGCCTTAGGAAGAATCTAAATAATAGCTCTTCTAATTCACTTAAATCTTAATACACACAGTGAAGAAGGGCTAGAGAAATGTGAATCTATACAAATCCTTATCAGACCAAAAATATGTTGTTTACGAGACCCCGCCCACCCCAGCCTCCTTCCTAGAGTCCAACATAAACAAAGACATTTAGATAGCTTAGCTTCTGGCCTCGGAACCAAGACGGTAACACACAGGCAACTCCTACCTCAGGGCGGGGAGCTCATGTATTAAAGAAAGAAGGTTTCACCTTTAGAATTAAGTGCTTTAGAAATGAGTACCTGTTGGTCCTCAGTTAAATGATCTGTTGCTTTTCTGTCAGGGTGTCCCCTTGTTTTATCTGGAACCAGGTCACGGGGTTTCCTTGTCACACTCAGTCATGACGCCTGGCTTTGCTTCTTCCCAAGTGACCCAGCCCTGCTCTGCCCAGGGCCTCAGTCTCTTTTGGGGTGGGCATGTGTAATGTGGCCCACCATCTCTGCCCACGCACAGAGGGGATGACTCGGTCAGGAAACATACAGGTGAAGGATGAGATCAGACACGCAGAGCGGTTTTCTGTGTGTAGGAAGAAATGTCTGAATCCCCGGAGTGTCGCAGGTCAGAACACAGACAGCATCCTGCGCACAGGTGTCTGCCTCCTCCCGCACACACCCCACCCAGCTGGGGCCGAGGGACCAGCAGCTCAGAGGGAGCCCGCAGGCATCTTTCCAGCTGGTACCCGGGGGCAGGGCTTGGGGTTGTGTGTCTTGTCCTCCCGTCCTTCCTGTCTTTCAGCGCCAAGGGACATGGCCGAGATTCACAAGCTTATCTATTTGCTGTGTCTGGAATTGCACAGGGACTGGAGGGAGGGAGGCCCCACATGGTCTTTATGAACTCACAGGACTCACAGTCTGGCGGCTCTACTTCTGTGATTGGAGGCACCCAGCCCAGGCATTTCTAGCAGGGCTGTGGTCCAGGGTTCAAGTCACATGGTCCAGGAAGATGCCTGTGTGGCATCCACACAGACGGTGGTGGANCTAGCCGTCCGTCCATCAATATTTACAGAATGAATGAATGAGTGCATTTGTTTTCATAGTCTAGAGTTCTTGGCATCTAGGAAACCAGCCCTTGTCCTTTGCTCCCCTCGGCCTCCAGGAGAGCAAACGTCGCAGGACAGTTGATCACTCACACCTCGGCCTCCACGAGAGCAAACGTCGCAGGACAGTTGATCACTCACACCTGTCTCCTCTGGAGACAGAAGCTTGGGGGTGGGGTAATAGGTCCTGGGATGTATGCTACGTTAGATTTACTGGGGATCAGGGGATTATGAATAATTGAAGAAATCAGAATGATGTATGCTTTCCTTACAATGTTAGGGATTTTATTGTAGCCTAAGATACTGAAGGAAGGCCAGTTTGCTGTTCACTTGCTGTTTACTTAGCAGTGGGCTTTGCATTTAAATTGAGACTTCACTCCATTAAATAGGAGCTAATATGTAGTTAACTTCAGGTGGCCCAAATATTGCAAGTTGATGAGATATTAAATTCTTTAACTAGACGTGTATGTATTAAGTTCCTTATGCCTATGCATAATGCATATCCCCATTGTGGTGGAACAGTTGGTATTTTGTTTGGATGAACATAAGTGGTAAAATGTATAAGAGGTAAAAGTCCATATACTGTGTATACTCAGCACACACCGACTGATGATAACATGACTGTTATTTTGAAGGATAATGTTATTACTTTGAATATCAGAGTGAGCTGGATTTAGAAATCTCATTCTCATATCTAGTCCTAACCTCAAGATATTTCCTAGTGCTCTTTAAATATCAGCTAAGAATTGTGTGATATCCAGGCTTTCTTGTTAAAAAGCCCAGGACATACAGGTACTGTGTAGGTGGTCATGCTCTTAACCCCTGTGTTGTCTGACCTGTGCCCAGGACAGGACACTGTTCTCAGTATTGCAAGCACAGAGGGAAACCTAATCACTGAATAAATATTTGTTGGCTGATAGATTACCAGACCCTGGGCACAAGGATCTGGAGAGATGATACGGGTTTGTTGAGAGGAGATATTTTAATTTGCTTCAGTGCAGAGTGATGACACGTGGGTATTACATAGAAAATACAGCTTATTGAGTGTGATTGTTTATTTCTTTCAACAAATGTTAATTGAAAGACTGCCCTTCACCAAACACTGTGTTTGGGTTTGCAGAGAATAAAAATGAGAAGAAAACATGGTTCTTCACTGTTGTGGTCTTCCAAGCACACTGGCTCTTGTGTGTTTCATTGAAGGGTAGCTCTGTCAAAGAAGTTGTCTTTGGAAGCCATGGACTTGTTCCAGTGATGCTATCATTTCTTTAGACCAATCTCAGATTAATCCTTTGCGGTCTCCTTTGGACTTTGCCTTAAATAACTTCCCAGGTGGCTCAGTAGTGAAGAATCTGCCTGCCAATGCAGGAGACATGGGTTCAATCCCTGGGTTGGGAAGCTCCCCTGGAGGAGAACACGACAACCCACTCCAGTATTCTTGCCTGGGAAATCCCACAGACTGAGGAGCCTGGCAGGCTACAGCCCATGGGGACCCAGAGTTGGACGCGACTGCAGTGACTTAGCACACGTGCATGCAGGCTCCGTGGCCGCAAGTCACTGTCCGTGTAAGGTGGGTCTGATGTGATAGTATTTTGAGTCAACTTTGATGGGGAAAAAACTGGTGATGAATTAGTTATATCAATTTTAGAAAAGAAAAAAGACAAAACCCAGAGTATTGAGTGTAAAACAGTGCCTGAAGGTCATGCCTCACAATCATTGAGGAGGTTTAAGATTTATTGGATGATACATCCGAGTGACAAAAAATGGAACATCTTTCTGTGATGGGTTCATGTGGATGCGTGGATGTATGAGACTAAGACATTGGGCAGAGTGAGATGGGGGAACCAGAAGGCAACATCCTGAAGGGGGTACTGATTAGCTCGATCTTACCTGAAGTCTTGACCACAGCCATCAGGCGACGCCTACCTGGCCCAGACCAGAGAGTCAGGTGGTGTGTCTTCAGAGGCCTGGGGACTGAGAGTGCTAAGAGCAGGTCAGTTTCCTATGTGTCAGGAGCTCTGGTGAGTGCTCCCTATACATGACCTCATTTAATTAGAGGGTGGGAAATGATTGATTGAAATGGCAGGAACCCCCCTTCTCTCTGGAATGAAAAAACCCACTGGGTTATGAATCCACTTAACCAGCTAGGAACCTGCATGGTGAAGGGCTGGTGTGATTGCACTGTCTTCCTGCCACGGAGATTGGTGAGACTCAGTCACTTTTAGGACAGTCTAGATTCCTGACTAGTTCTCATCCTACCTCACCAGTCTCCACCCATCAGGGAGCGCTTCCGCTCATAAGGCTGGGTCTCACCATCTGGTTCCACACACCTTATCATACTTTCTTAGATTTTGGTCCTGTAGATGTTCAGAGTCCCAAGTCTTTTTCGGTTGGTTTCAACAGAGAGTTTTATTTACATCCTTGCATGCAAGGACAGCTCTTACTTAATCAGTCAAGTGTCCGGGGTCTGGGGTGAGAGCCACAATCTGGTGTGGGATGTGGCCTTTGCTGTAAATCGCTTCTGTCTCCTTGCTCAGTCCTGCCAGCATCTTGTCTTAGTTCTCATGCCCTCCTGCAGGCTGGGGAGGGTAAGAAGGTCTTCTCCATTCTTTTTTTTTTTTGGTGGGGAAAATCATTTACTTATTGGGGGCTGTTTGAGAAGGAGTTCTCCAAATGTCAAGACTACAATGCTTTTTGGGCAATGCTAGTCGTTGACCTGCAGTGAACATATCTTAGAAGCATCAGCATCTAATCAGTTCACAGGTGACATGTTGTGTCTCTCTCTCACACACACACACGTGCACACACACACATGAAGGACCAGAGAGAAGGGTTGTCTATGGTGGGTAATTATTTCTAACTGCAAAGCTGTTGTTTGGTTCAGGGACCCTCAGTCACCAGAAGCCTTCTCTGAGATTGAATGACTCATAGGTGGGAACAGAGCCCTGGGAGTGGAGGGGAGGGAAGGGCTTTGGGTACCTGGGTGGGTCTTCCTAGGTCTCCCTGTTCAATCCCGGAAGCCAGGTCCTTCTGAAGCAGGTAAAGCT